CTGCGAAGGGGACAGGGTGACTGCACTGTATTAAGGAGAGGATGAATGGGGCCATTTATTGTGAGATTCTGAGCAACAACCTCCTTCCCTCAGTCAGAGCATTGAAGATGGGTCGTGGCTGGGTCTTCCAACATGAAAATGACCCGAAGCACACAGCCAGGATAACCAAGGAGTGGCTCCGTAAGAAGCATATCAAGGTTCTGGAGTGGCCTAGCCAGTCTCCAGACCTGAATCCAATAGAACATCTTTGGAGGGAGCTGAAACTCCGTGTTGCTCAGCGACAGCCCCGAAACCTGACAGATCTAGAGGAGATCTGTGTGGAGGAGTGGGCCAAAATCCCTGTTGCAGTGTGTGCAAACCTGGTCAAGAACTACAGGAAACCTTTGACCTCTGTAATTGCAAACAAAGGCTTCTGTACCAAATATTAACACTGATTTTCTCAGGTGTTCAAATACTTATGTTCAGCAGTGCAAGACAAATACATTCTTTACAAATCATACAATGTGATTTCCTGAATTTTTTTTTTTAATTCTGTCTCTCAGAGTGGGAATGCACCTACAATGTGAATTTCAGACCCTTCCATGATTTCTAAGTGGGAGAACTTGCAAAATCGCAGGGTGTTCAAATACTTCTGTTCCTCACTGTATAACTAATCACACCTTTTAAAATAGAATAATAGATATGAAAATTAAGAAAAAACCCACAAGTTTTCAGTTAGCAGAGCATATATTCATTTAGCAATCCATGATTAGACATCCAAAATAAGAGACAATACTACCAACATACATAAAAAACAAGAACTGTAATAAGGCAGCTATAAGGCCTCTTAGGTAGAGCAAAAAGGCATCATTTATAATGTCAGACTGCTCTTCTGTTATTAATAAATCATTACTCCCTAAACTTTTATGAATTCGGCAGTTAAATTGTTTAATTACGGTACTTAGTTTCCTGTACCCTGAACACGCCATATTCCACTTATATATCAAATCACTAGAACATCACTCATTTCTATGTACATCAAACCTTAATTACGTTACTAAATTCTCACACTACCATGTTTTGACTTTAATACATATCTTAGTCAATTTTCGACTTTGAAACCTAGCTGTCCTGCCTAACAATAGACACCACCAGATGCCCTGACTTGATGGCTAAGCTGCAGCAAATGCCATTAGTGCGTCCAGTTAGAATGCTTTTACTGGCCATTGTAGCACTCTTATTGGACAATGAAAAGGTGTCAGGGCCTAGCCATGAATTTAGGATATGACAGACCCAGTAGCCAAGTAAAACTATATCAACGAGGGAGGCTTTCTGTGTAATAAAGAGCATCTTGTGGCATGGAGTCGTAGGCAGCACTTTTATTTCAAAACTTTAAAATGAACCACAGGTTCACTTTAAAGAGACTCGGTCACCAGACTACTCACTTCAACACAACAACAATCTTTCCATACGATTATATGTGCATTCAACATATTTCAAGCATGTTAATAATCTGTAAAAGCCTCCCTTGTGTAGACATCCAAAAGCTCGGAGATTTCTGCTGAGTGCTGTCATTTCATATGTGATCTCAGCAACCCCAGCAGACTCAAGTGACATTCTATAGAAATCCTGTTTGCCCCTCCCTTGACTGTTATATAAAAAGGTTATGCAGGAAGGAGATGGGAAGGGTTGAGGAGTTTGGCCAGCACAGACAGTATTTGGACACACCCAGAAAACGAGAAGACTATGATGTGCAAAGCAGGTACTGTGCTAGGAAACTGACTCTTCCACAAAATAGTCAAATTTGATAGTTCAGAGGCACACCGCAAGTCCAAAAAATTTTATGGAAAGGAAAAACATTGCAAGTAAGCATTTAAAATACTTGATTTTCCTGTGCTTTTGCCTGTTTTTTTTTTTCAAGTTGGTGACAGGGTCTCTTTAAGAACTACTACAGTTTTAAAATCTTAATTTTCCTTAGTATACACATTACAAATATAAATACACGTGGTACATATAACACACACAAACTAAAAACCATGAAGTTTCTGCTTATTTTTCCCCAACATGGATGCAGCTTAAAAAACACACAACTATATATTGTCGCTATTTTGTAGGGTGAATACTGTGATTCTTAAAATTGTTCATTTGTGTACACAGTGAAGGCATACTTGTATGAATGTAAATATCTTTTCAGCTGCCTGTGCCACCTTATGTTGCGCCCATCCTAAAGCTGGGCATACATGGGTCAGTTGTTTTCTATCAGCCAGCGTACTGATCAAAAATGGAGGCATCCTCCCTACTGTGCTGTTGTATTCTGACAGTGGGGACATCTCCGCTGTCACAATACACTGATCTTTGTTGCAGCTTATTGGCTGCTGTGCTGACCGAACTAAATTTTCCAACAAGCTTGTTTGTAAGAAGATAATCATAGTCCTTGCTGAACCGGACAAATTTCAATCCATTTATATCCAGCTTAAAAAAAAAAATCTACATATAAAGTTCAGTTAACCGACAGTTCAGAGTGTCAGTTGTCTGGGTTCCCCTTCAGCTCTCACCAGTTCTTCCTGCTGACCTCCTGGAGATTACAGAATACAGTAATGATGTGGAAGTCATCAGCAGGAGGAACCAGTCAGAGCTGCAGAGGATCCAGGAGATCGACATGCTTGGAAGTTTCAGTGTCCCTGTGGACTTCACATGGCGATTTCTAATAATAGGAGTGGTGTATGGCAGCAGAAGCATCAGAAAAGGTGAAGATTTACACACTTTTTTTTTTTACAGACATTAAGTCATTTTAGAATATTCACAGGGTCAGTTTAAATATGAGAAGCCCTTTTAGCTGTAGAAAGTTGTTTACACTGAACTCCTTTAGACCAGTTTGAGAAACACCATTGGAATTCAGTCTCTTACTTCAATTGAGGAGGTACAGCACTTTCCTCAATGTATCAATAATGTACAAAATATATTGTGTATCCACTGCATATTGTATTAACAAACATTATATTACACTTTGCCCTCAATATAATGTGGGAATAGACTTCGTCTTCAGTTCGTACACTTTTATTACTGTACGGTATAGTTAAGGTATAAGGCTTACTTTCCTTAATCTTCATTGTTCCCTTAAAATATACCCTCTGTACCTCCTACTGAATGAGTACTTACAATGTTGCTTTACTTTCATTCAAACTTTATATCTTGGCTCTGGATAGAGTAAAGCAGCATTAGAACATCTGTCAGATTTTCATTCCAGTGGTCATGTGCAGTGTAGGAAATGTAGTAGCTGCAGCATCCAGAGTCCCTGAGCAACTTGGTTGTCTCTTAAAAACGTATTCTTTCTACATATTTTGTTTCTATATTTTTACAACAAATAAGAGGGGGTTTTACACTCTGCTTGCTTCCTTCTACATAACTGATATTATATGTAACATTTTAGAATAAATATGTCCTTAAACACTGAATATTTGTCTATCAATGGGGCAACATAGTAGTATCCTTGTAAACAGAGAACATTCTAAACTTTAAATCACATCACAACAATGGTATCTATCTATCTGGTATAGCTAGTAGTAGTCACATTCAACTGGACACTTTCTGTGATGTTGAAGACGTTTCGCTGCTTACCCAAGCAGAGTCTTCAGTTCTAATGAGAGCTAGGGAAATAATGGAGTATCCAAAAAAAAACAGAAGTATTTTTTTAAAAAAACATAGTATCTCTGTGTTTTTCAAGCTGGGCAATAACCCAGGGCAAAATCTTGTGCATAGACCCAACATCAAAACACAAGCAAAGTAACTTGTTACATGTCCAGTGTAGTGAGGAATAAAAAGACCTGTACCTCTGGGAAGACAAAACCTCAAAAATTGGATAGCCCAAAATAGTAGTGGAACTCTGTGGGTCAGTTTTCCTGAACCCTACAGAAAAGAGACATTATCTCAAGGACAGTAGTGAGGTGCAATTTTGGGTTAGAATAACTGGTTAGCAACATTAACAACATTACAGAACCAGTCAAGTTAACTGTAACTACTACTGGCTACATCACACTAATGTACAGTACATTTCCAGCTTGCTTTCAATAACTGTTTGTTTATTAGATGTATTTTGATATTTTGACTTTTTTATAACAGATAAAGCAACGTGCACTAACCCATGGCAACCATTTAGTAATCAGTAACAGACCAGAATTCCGACTGTGCTAACCCATCTGAAACTGGCTTGGTTGCTACAGGTTATGCACATATATGCTCTGTCCACTATGAGATAGTGTGGCTTGATTCTTGGACCCAGATATCCTGCAGTCATTAGACTGTCAATTATATGAAATAACACTCTACCTCTGTTCACAGAGATCACTGTAGGACCAAGTAATATGATCTATTTACGTCTGAAAGTTTACAGTCTTTTCCATTAACTAAGCTAGCATAAATTGATACTGCAACTTAAAAGAGTGTTTCACATTTAGCAATGCCTAATGTGCTCCTCAGCTATGACCCCTGACTTAGATACTCAGAATCATGTTGAAGCTTAAATGGAGTTGACTATTAAAATAAATAGGTTACACTTTTTATTTAATCTCTAATCAGATAATGTTGATTTTCCCATGCCTTTCTACTGGTAGCAGTTGAACTTTTCTATTAGATGAAAGACAATAAACTTGGACTCCATGTTCCTCAATGTCTACACCACTTAAAATCTGAGACTGAGGACCCTTCATCAATGGCCACAGTCAAGGGGTGGGGTTCTACATTCTCCTAAAGGAGGACAACCCTTTAAGCTAAAGAAGGTACACTTAACTTTTGCTATAAAATAATGCATTACTGTTCTGTTTTCTTTAAAAATGTTCTTAATTTTGATATCAATAATTCAATTTTATGGTGCCCTAAATTATGAGCACTTTTATTTTATTCTGACACTGTTTTATTTGTTCAGAAGACTTTGGTGTATCTTTGACATGCAGAACAAATATAAGACACTGCACTTTTTTCCCTTCTCTGTATTATATGAAATGTATCCATCCATTTTCAGGATCCTGAGTCCGGGAAGCTCCAGCACTAGACAGACTTAGGCTGTAATTCTTGCCCTTGTTGTTGTCCCAAAACTCCTCATTTCCAACTTGATAACAAATAGCAAATTGTAGTGAAGAAGTCTGGGGATGGTCTCCAGGTGGTAGAGGTAGACGGAAGGTGAAGAGATCTGTGCCAGGATGGCCAGCTCCACCATGGCACAGACGAGCAGCATAGAGAGCATGGGTTTCCCGATACGAAAGCCATCCATCCAGAGTATAGCGCACTGTAACTTTCTTTTCATAAGCAAGATCAAGAACCCTTACGGATCCCCAAAGGAAGCAGCTTTCACAGCGCATATTCTGCAGGCACACGCGCTGATCCCATGTTTGCTGATCCCAGGCACTTCGCTCCCATGTTTGTTTTTCCAGTGTTCCTGGCTCTACTATCCATGAAGGGGATATGACATGGCGAGCTTCACACCAGCTCTGGAAAAGAAAACTTTGGTTAAACAGTCCTTCCAGTGAAATAAAACATTAACATTTATCACAGTTGTTTTAGGTGAGTAATACTATTCATTATAGTTTGCTTATGTAAAAAGATTTGTATGAAAGATATATGTTAGTAGGGACAAACTATGTGGTTACTGTGGCCCCACAGAGGAATCTACACCAGTTTTCAGTGGTATTGCCTCTGGGTTGCCTAGGCAGACCCAGACATAAGCCAAGCTTGCATAAGGATGATTCCAAATCTGTTTCAGATAATGCTAAAATGACCCTTCCTTGTACAAGTAATATGCATACCTATTAGGTACAATAATTTGAAAGTATCTGTTTAGGCCTAGAATGTGCATAAGAATAAAGATCCTGACAAGTACCTTACGGTGCATGCAAGTGAAATAGTAAGAGTCTTCTAATAAATTCCCTGGATCCTGGGCTCAGACTGTAAACAGGGCCTTCATTTCCCTCCATGTTAATATTAAAGCAGAACTAAACCCTCCTATCATTTAGAGTCAAGGAAGCTGCCATCTTAGACTCTGTTTGATCTTCATTTACTATGGTGCACATATGATCAGTTATAACACCCACCATTAGATGACTTGACAGTTACGAGCTAATATAAACACACTAGCAACTGTAACAGTTATAATTCAAGCCATGCCTTGACTGTAACAGTTTTAGAAAACAGTTAAATTAGTGGGTTTAGTTCCACTTTAAAGCGGAAAAGAAGTCCCGCTGTAAAAAACTGCAAGCAAGGAGGCTTTTATTACAGAAGAGACATGCCCTGTGTTTTCTTCAATAAAATGCCTCTACCTGCCTGCTCATTGTCTCTTACAACACTGTAAACTTAGTTGCGCATGTGCAGCTCAGCTTACAGTGCTGGGCCAGTCCCTGAGTGCCGGGATGATGGCCTCCTGCAAATGCAGAAGAGTAAAGTCATACCACACCTGCCAAAGAAGAGGCCCGAAGACTGGCACTCAGAGGATGCAGGACCAATGGATGGGCAAGTATGGAGCCTTTAGTTCCGCTTTAAGCCTTCTTTTCTCCTTGTGCATCATTCAACTAACAAATGCCAGAATCTTAGTGGAATGGCAGAGTCTGGCATTTTAATGCTAAATGACAGAGTAAGGAGCCTAACGGCAGGAAGAAGTGGCACTTACAGCAGAACTAAACCCTCCAATTCTTTTTAGCCAAGGAGGCTGCCATCTTAGCCTCTGTTTGATCTGCAACTGCTGCACGTGATCAGTTACGACTTCAGCTATTTGATGGTACTTTAAGGCCTCGTTCACACCATACGTGCAGACAAACTGATGGAAACTGACATGCAGATTTCACTTGCAGAGACATCAGTCTTCATGCACGCCTTAATAAGTTTTATACACGTTGCAGATTCCTACACAGAAAATTTGAACATGATACTAGTGTTGTGGTGTGAACAGGGCACATAGAGAACAATTTATTTCATTGTGCCATTGCAGTACTTGTGCAGAAAGCGGACATCTCTGCACCATGGTGTGAATGAGCCCTTAAGTGGAGCTAAACCCACCAATTTAACGGTTTCCCAAAACAGATATATTCAAGGAATGCCTTGAAGATTAACTGTTATAGTTACTAGCGTGCTTACAATATGTTAGCTCACAACTGAACTGTTAAGCCATCAAATGGCTAGTGTCATCGTTGTTTACATGGGCAGCACCATAGCAACTACAGATCCAACAGAGGCTAAGATGGCAGCTTCCTTGGTATAAAGGATAGGAGTGTTTAGTCCCGCTTTAATCTAGACATGGAGAAAAGTCAAAGCCTCTGTTCAGCTACTAACTAAAACAGAAGCACTTGCAAGCAATGCAAGGTATCTGCTAATCAGCGCTGCTATTAGCTCACCCACCTTCCAGGCTGAGTAGGTGAGGTTCACTTTATGAAGGAAAACAGGCATGTAAAAAGATAATTTATCTGATGGACATCAGCCAAAATATAATAGCTCTGCAGATCGATCTTTCTGGAAATATTCTCCTAAGAAGATTGTTCCTGATAAACGATCTTTCTTAAATGCACAATGGTTAACTTGATGTATCATTCTTCTACCATATGTGCCGCAAACAAGTGATTCAAAAGGTGGGAAGAGAAAGGATAATGCTTCATCAGGCCAGAGTAGAATCACCATTGCTTGCAGGCATTAAGAATGAAATGGATACAGAAACTACATCTCATTTATAAAAAAAAAAAAAAAAAAATATTCAGTATTGTTGTATCTATAAACTGTATCTACAACCAAAACTTTTTTTGATACAGTAGGGAAGGGTTAGAAACCCTCTCAGGTGTTACTTCTATTGGAAGCTCTGTTACAGAGATTTGCCTTCTTGCTTCATGTCACAGGACAAAAGTACTAACTCTCCAGTGCCTCAAAGGGGTCAATACCAGGAAAGGCCAGGGAATCAGGTGTATGGATGACCTATGGATAAAGTCCGGTGATGCAGCCCTCCTCAGATGGGAAGATCAACGAACTGGAAAAAAAAGCACACAGGTGGCGCAAACACCTAGCGCATTATCCAAGGTATATTAAAATGTTTAAAAGACAAAAAAATACTCACAAAATTAGTGCATAAAAAGCCTGTAAGGCCACAGAGATGACCGAAATGATGGCAGAGTGTCCGTCTGGTGGTGTGGTCGGCCTGCTGACGTGTTTCGGGTACGTGTCCTGTTCCTCGGAGCTCTGAGGAATTCGGCCATCTATGTGACCTTAAAGACTTTTTATGCGCTAATTTATGTAAGTACGCTTTTTGTCTTTTTTTAAATAAACTTTGGATAATGCGCTAGGTGTTTGCGCCACCTGAAAAAAAAAAAGAAGAGAGGCACCCTCTGAGTGCAGTATGAAGGAAATATTTAATGAACCACAATCATAAAACTCACAATGTGAAGATGTTTATAAAGCCCATCAGTAAAACCATTTCTGTGTCCTGCAGGGGTCCATCCCGTAGGGTGCTGGCCGGTTTAGATGGTGACAGGGTCCCAGGCTGCTAGAGGCGGTGGAGGATCCCACGGTCCCTTAGTGGATGGTGACAGGGACCCAGGCTGCTGGGGGTGATAGGGAATCCTAGGCTCCGTCGTCCAACCTGGGATTCCCTATCACCCACATCCTCACATTGTGAGTTTTATGATTATGGTTCATTACATATTTGCTTCATACTGCACTCAGAGGGTGCCTCTCTTCTTCTTTTTCATTTTGCATACAGAGTTGGCTTAATCTGGGATGGCTGCCACCTGAAGCGGTTACTAGCCATAGACTTTATTGGGACTTCTGGACATATAACACTGGACATTAGCCATTAGTGCACTGAAATCTCTCCTCTATTCGTGTTTGCACCACCTGTCTGCTGTGTCACACATTTCACAGAGCCTGCCTTCTGAACTATAGAGGCGCTGACAGGAGTTTCAGGAGGCGGAGTCATTACAGGAATTACTGCTTGCAGACAGCATGGTACCATGGGATATGTAGTCCTTAGACACAGAAAGCTGCAGGAAATAAGCTGCAAAGCATGCAGGGAATCCAGGAAGTTTTAGAAGAGATGGCCGATAGACAGGCAGCAGTCATTACAGGAAAGAAGATTTTCAAGTAAGCTTATATTGAATTGGCAAAACTACTGTTTGTATTGCTATTAGAATGCTAATATTTTAAAATGAAAGTGTAAGCTGTAACCACAGATAACCTTTAAGGTCATATGCCTGACAACAGTGGAAAGAGAAGCATGCTTTCTTTAACAGGTACCTTAAGGAAGGACAAACAGGGAGCCAGGCTGTCTGAAGGGAGCTGTAGCTAAGATATAGACTCAAACAGCACATACCACATCCAGGTTCAGGGGAAGACGCTTTAGGATGCATTAGAACAGGACAGAGAAATGGAAGAACAATGACCTGGTTAAAGTGAACAGGAGAAATCACATTGAAAAGAAAGGGGCCCCTGGGACTTAAAGTGATTGTAAACCTAATAATTTTTCTAAATAACAGACATGTTGTACCTATCTGCTCTGTGCAATGGTTTTGCACAAAGCAGCCCTGATCCTCCTTTTCTGGGCTCCGCCACAGCAATCCGCTTGCAATGGGGGCTCTGGTGCAGGTTTACTCCTGAGTTGGCTCTGATACACAGAGTATGGCTTGGCCCTGCCCTCTCCTCACTGGCTGTAATTGACAGCAGCAGGGGCCAATAGCTCCTGCTGCTGTCACTGAGCCAATGAGGAGGGAGAGAGCGGAGGGAGCTGCTGCTTTTGTGCACATCGCTGGATCGAGATCAGGTTCAGGTATGCATGGCGGGGATGGGATGGATAGGCATCAAAGATTTTTGACCTTAATGCAAATAATGCATTAGGTATAAAACCTTCAGCCTTTACAATCACTTTAAAACAAGAAAGGATTCCTTACACGTCAAGGCCACCAACCAGGAAACTCATCTTGCAGATGTGATGGCGACAAGAAAAACCTTGCAATTATATGATGACAAAGAAATATCCCCAAGAGGGTCATCGGGCACTTTCTGAAGAACCTACAGAATCCAGCTGATATCCCACTGAGTCACTGAGGATTGCACAGGAGGAAAAATATTAGCACCACCCTGTACAAAAATCTAGACGATTCTTGGATTGGAAGAAAAATCTGCTCAGTTTGTTGCTGAACGTGGAAGCAAGAGGAGGTCCAGGTATGGCGACCCTCACGTTCATCTTAAATCACCTTGGGGTGAAGAGGCCATTCTCCAGAGTTTATAGGTTGATGAAGTTGGCATCCTTAAGGTCCACAGAGGCCAGAAGGTCTCTTGGATAAAGGAAAGAGACTGACCTGGCAGATTCCATGTGGAATGTTTTCACTGAAAGATGTTGAGAAACTTTAGCTCCAGTATGGGATGCATGCCCCCTTTTGCTTTGCGGATGGTGAATAGTTTTGAATAGAAAACCTTGAAACCTATCATTTTCCAGGACAATGGCTGTAATGCCTTGGCAGAGGAGCTGTGCCAGAGCAGCACGAAGATCTGCCAATCTTTGTGGGGACGTTCGTCAAACCAAAACTCCAGTTTGTTGCCTATGTATACAACATTCTTGACCAGAATGCCTGAAATATCCTGGGACCAGATAGCTGCAAAAGCCAACACACATCTCCAACTCTGGCAAGTTGGGAAGTCCCATCATTGTAATCAGGCGTTTTATGCACATTTTGAGGATTTGGGGGTCAAAGGACTGCGTTCCAGGTATTACTTTTCTTTGCTTTCTACTTGCCTTAAATACAGAAGGTTTTTCAGTTGAAAATTTTGCCTTCTTTTCCTGGGGCAAAAGGGTACCTTTTGCCAGTCTCTGAACTGCAGCTTGGGGGCTGGATGCAGCCTTTTGCTTGCCAACAATGGGGCATAATTCCTATTGCTGACACCATAATTGAGGCACTATTCCTCCCACTGACATCATTGAAATGGCTCAATTCCTCCCACTGACACCAAAGATGAGACACTATTCCTTCAAATGACACCAACAATTAGGTACTATTCCTTCCACTGACACCAATGATGGGGCAATAATCCTCCCACTGACACCAAAGATAGGACATTATTTACTCTCTCACTGGACGCCAGGACATTTTCTACTCACATTGAACCTAGTCTACCCCCCTAAAGTCTAAAAGACAGCAACCTGGCTCTTTGTTTTGAAAGTTTAGAGACACCTGGTCTAGTAATATCCACTAGCCTATTAACACAAAAGGGCAAAAGACAGGCAAAAGCTCCAGTTGTTGAATGTCAGAATGGTCTGTCAGAATAGGACGGGGATCTGGAGATACATCCTTGGATCAGATAGCTAATAGACGATGGACATGGCTGCAAGGGCAGGTTGCAGAAAAGGTCTCAAAAAAGGGATTCCAGCCTTTTAGCCAAGGGTTCTTTAAACCTTGGTTTGTTCTCTACAGGGACAGTGAAAGGAGATGGCCAGTAACCATACAAAAGGGGCTGAAAAGCCAAGAAACTCCTAGCAGGCCAGGGAGTTTGCATATAACCCAGGCTCATGGACTTTATTATGACCAGGTTGCTCTTTGTCAAGGCAAGTGTGCACTCAGTAAGGACTGAAATTGTATCTTTAAGTTTAGAAAATATGTCAGGAGTCTGAGACTCTGCATGTACCAAGTTCTCAAAAACAAGTAAGGTACAACCCTCGTCCTCCTCAGTCAAATGTGCAAAGGTAGCTTCAGCTAGAAGAAAATCTGAGATGGATTCTGGAGGGTAGGGCACAGGTGTCACTTTGCAGCCCCTGCAGCCCTGGATTTGTTAAGCCCTTTCCAACTAGCTTAGTATGTTGCATTAAGGGTGCCTAGGTGAGCACCTAATGCAGAGTCAATCACTGAAAGGGCTGCATATTCTTCACAGTGGGGTTTAGGTCTAAACCATGGATTAGCTGATATGGAAAATGCAAACAGTGAACTTAAGTGGTTTTGCAGCAACTGTAGAAATTTGCCAGTGGAGACAAAAAGAAGAAGGTAAATAGTAAAAAGAGGTTTGCTTCTATAATAGAAGAGAAGACATCTATTCTCCTAGGACACTAGCAAAAAACGGAAGCAGACTGGAAGTGGGAGGGGTCATACTAGGCTGTCCTTACAGTTTTGTTTGCCAATGTCCAATATTCTAAAGATAGCAGCATAACCCAATGTACCTAAATATTTCTGCTCTGTCCTATAATGTACAATTAAGAAAAAGCATTTCTACTTCTGTTTGTGTTGTGGATGGAGAATTGCCTTTATATCCTGTCTGGTGAAAAAAAGATTGCCCACAATACAGGAAGTAAGGGAAAGTCTCTCTGGATGAGCTCTGGACAGCAGTAAACCCTGACAGGAGTACCAATCCATCCCTATGCTATGCAAAACAACAAATCGTTTTGGCTGTAGACATACTGTAACTTCATAGCTAAACACATGCTTAGGGCAGCCATAAGTGATTTATATTCTTTGTATTCATTCCTATATCTTTTTGTGTCACTTACCATACTGCCAGTTTTTTCTTCAATAACATTGGGATTAGCCCAGGCAAGAATATATAGGCTATTTCTCAGTAAGAATGACAACTGTGAGAGCTGTCATGACTTGTCTCTCTGACTGAGGCAGTGTTTCAAAAACTAATTGAAGGATTGTTCCATTTTCTATGATGGAATGGGAACAACTTGTTATTAAACATTAACAAGTGAAAAAGTGTTGTGATGCTGAAAAAATTTATATATGTAACATAACAAACTATAAATAATGAAAATCAGTCCCAACGTGTGTAAGTCCATACAGAAGAAAAAAGAAAAAACGCTTCAGAAGATCCAGATGGAGAGAAAGCATCTTTCTACTGGTGACTGCACCCACAATCCCAGTGCTGTAAATCCTCAAATGAAGTGCATCAGCACAGTGAACATGTATATATAGGTGGACCCTCACCTTCTCACATGGACCTGTATAAGAAAGAGGTCAAACAGGTATCTCCCCTTCTAGTGGGGTAACACATAGCTTTCTCCTCTGTGGGTAATCCTCCTCTTATATGTCACCGCTGATCCTCTTGAAGCACCTGTTATCAGTATAGCTGGCTCTGTGGGTGGACTCAACAACCGTAAAGACGACCATAGTGCAGCACGGTTCTTAAAACTACATAAAGTTTATTAAAATGTATGCCCTCACATGGTAACCATGATAAAAACGCAATGTAAAACAAAACAATCACTGAACAGCAATATCCTACTAAACTGAACAGTGTTCTGGCTCTGAGGTCACCGGACTCCTCCCCACGTGTATATTGTCACACACCACGTGACTTCATCAACTTCATATGTTACATATATGAATTTTTTGAGCAGCGCAACACTTTTTCACTTGTCAATTTTTTGTTTATGGGTACACACATAATATGTGTTTGCAGCAGCTTGATATAATTTGTGTTTTTGTTCCAAGTATATTTTCTTGTTTTGTACCTATAGTTGGCAGCGCACAATTTTTTCCATAAATTGTTATTAAACATGCTGGCATATTTATGACCAATAAGGATGTTCCCTGTGGAAATATTAATGCTGAACTTAACTTGTGACTAAAGCTGTACGCCATTTTTTTTTTTTGCTAAAATTCAGCTGTAAAGCTACAATTTAGGTATGGCATTTTTTTAAAAAAGCTATGGCAACTGTTACATAGTTACATTGGTGAAAGCTGGACCAATGTAACTATGTATAAATTGCCATACCTACACTTCAGCTTTAATTTTTGAGCAGGTTTAATTTGCATTTATATGATTGTGAATGTTACCGCTTCCTCCTTTATGTATGGATTGATTACTAAAGTCAAATAGACTGTGCACTCTGCAAGTGCAGTTGTACTAATTGTCCCTAGAGTTCAGTAAATGTGGTAAAACTTCACCTTGTAAAGAATACCCAATCAGGTGCAAGGGAAATGTAACTATGCAGTCCTGCTGCTGGCCCTGTCAAGTGTCATTGGGGCTGGAATTATGCAGGCACCACCAGGCGCACGTTTAACTTGAATCTACATCAGTGGTCTCCAAACTGCGGCCTGGGGGCCAGATGCGGCCCTTTGCTTGCTTTTATCTGGCCCTTAGGGCACTATTTTATCCACTAGTACAACAGTGGGGCATAATTCCTTCCACTGACACCAGTGAAGGGGCACAATTCCTCCCACTGACACCAACTCTGCGGCATTGTTTTTCCCATGACGTCGGGACCTTTTCTACTCCCAATGGCCACAGTCCAGCCCCCCCCCCCCCCTAAAGTTGTAAGGACAGTACACTGGCCCTTTGTTAAGACAGTTTGGAGACCCCTGAGCTATATGATTGTGAATGTTATCACTGTACCCTTTATATAGGGGTTAATTTACTAAGGGCAAATAGACTGTGATCTCTGCAAGTGCAGTTCCACTCATTTTGGTAAATGTGGTAAAACATCACTTTGTACAGAATACACAATCAGGTACAAGGAGAATAAAAAAAACAGCATTTTTGCTTCCATATTAATGGATGATGGAAATCAGCAGAGCTTCACCATGTTTATTAAGCTCTGAGGAAAATGAGGGCAACTGCACTTGCAGAGTGCACAGTCTATTTGCCTTTAATAAGTCAACCCCACAGAGTATCATGTTCCCTTTTTTTAAGAATTACAGAGGAAAAGAGATGGACCTTGGTGCAAAAGCTTACAGCAGTCTCTAAGTCAGCCCTTCATGACCAGGGTTCTGTGGTACCATAGGATTCTAGAGGTTGCTCATTATTTCTTCATCAACGAGCAATTTCTGCCTCTCAGATAAGATACCACTAACACCGCTGATCTTTTTAGCTATAAAAGGAAGATTCTTACCAGTGACCACAAATATAATGAGTATCCTTCCCACTGACCATCATACTTATGTACCATCAGCTGTAGATTTAGTAATATTAGCAGATGTTCCCTGAGACCTGAATGTTATTTCAAGGTCTCCCCCATGATAAAAAAAAAGTTGTGAAAGGCTGATCTAGGCCAAATTCACCCTAAAGTACTCCCTAGAATAACCTTTCCAAACCCTTTTACCCCAGAAGAACCCTTGGTCTCAGGGAACCCTTGTTGGTTGGTCAACCAGGGGTCATTCAGCAACTGGCATTTATGTTGGTAGTGGTCAGTGGGAAAATATCCCTTACATTGGTGGAAGAATGCACCCCTTTCAGTGGTGGTCAGAATGCCATCCTTGTAGTCCTGCTGTTGGACCTGTCAAGTGGCACTGGTACTGGAACTATGCAGGCACCCTCAGATGGGAGGCAAGTAAGCCACTGCTCAAGGAACCCTTGGCCACCTCTGGAGGAACCCTGGTTGGGAATGGCTGTCCTAATAGTTCAACATACAACAAATATAATGCTTATCACTGTTACTATTGACTGCAGCTCATTGGGAAGACATTCTACAACATACCACATCCTCTCTGGAGCTGCAGGATCCTCCAATTTGCTCCAACAATTCTCTCTGTAGCCGGTAGGTCACGTGTTGTGGAATATGGGGCATATCCTCACGTCTGAAGTGTCGTACCGACTCCAGCTCCAGCCCTAGTGCATCTGCAAAGCGGACCCTCTTCCTGGTTTCTGGGCTACGATGGCGTTCTGACCGGGGTACACGCAAGGCTGGGGCAGATCGCGAACGCCTTCGTGGAGCGCTTATGGATTTTATGGCGGTGGAGCGACCTGGTGAGGACGCTGCTTCTTCTTCTTCTTCATCACGCTCCTCGAGGCTTGGTCTGGCTGTTCGGTAATAGGCTCGTTCATAAAGTCCAGCAATGTAGCTGAGGTTTCTGGGGATGTCCCCCGTGGGGGGCCGGGAGCGGCAGGACATTACGATACCTAGTGTTACAGACTAGCATTAAGGCTTTAGCACGAACTACAGGAAGGTAGATGGAAATATTGTGTAGGTGATAGCTATTGTGTATGGCAGGGTAATCAATGATTAGAAGGCATGGACAGTATGAGGAATATTTCCCTGAAGGTAAGGATGCAGCACACACACCCTCCTAGGCTTTCATGACACCTATTACCCTCCACTCAACCTCCCCCTGTGTCATTCCATGTCCCCTTCCGCCGTGTCCTCATCTTCCCCCTGCTGTGCGACGCTCCTCCATCACTCCCTGACTCCTCTGCATCCCATCCATCCTGCGGAGTCCCTGGACCACTACCGTAATGCTTTGTGTAGAAGGGACGGCAGCCGAAAGCTTGGTCCAGCCCCCTCCACCCGTCCCGTGCACGGAATTGGAGGAGAGTGGGAGGAAGGTGGGGCTCCCAGGAAGGTGATCCGGGAGGGAGCAGGCGCCAGTGAACGAGGAAGCTGCAGACAAGTTGCTGGCCATGAGGTCCGGAGATACAACCACAGGAGTGACGGAGGAGGCACTGTAGGCGCCGCGCTCATGGACACCCTGCATACCCGGGGCGCCGTGCAGCCTTTTCATGTGGGGTGGCAGCTCGCTTGTCGGAGGAGAGTTGTAGCCGCTATACATAGAGCACGCCGCTATGTACAGGACGCCGCCATTATACAGCGGCGCGGGGGCACACTGCTACTACTTTGGCTGCTTGTAGCGGAACACTGGGTGCCCGTTTAGTCTACACATTACGGCGCGGAGGTAATCCGTAGCCACCGGTACGAGGAGAACCGTCCAATCGGAGCAAAGATAGGCGCGCCTTCGCCTGATGTCATCGGGCGTCGCCATGGCAGAGACGGAAGTGTTTCCGTTTTAGACCGGAGAAGGGAACGGCAGTACGGGCCGAAGGGGGGAGAGAAAGCAGCATGAGAGTGATACCAGCCGTCTCCGGGGGAGCCCCCAGCAGCACATGACTGGTAGGTGGTCAGCTGGGTGTCCTGGAACGGGTGTTCAGGGTTAGAGGGGGTTTACCTGACAGCTGAAGGCTTGGACCACACAATATATGATAGCTGGGACTATACAGTGTGTGATACGTGGGACCATAATATGTAATAGCTGAGAACATACAATATATATGATACATAGGACCACACAGCGGGGGAGATTTACTAAAACTGGTGCACTCAGAATCTGGGGCAGCTGTGCATGGCAGCCAATCAGCTTCTAACTTCAGCTTGTTCAATTAAGCTTTAGCAATAAAACCTGGAAGCTGATTGGTTTCTATGCAGAGCTGCACCAGATTTTGCACTCTCCAGCTGCAGAATGGGTGAGAGCTGGGATTTCTGGAAGGGTGAGAGCTGAGGCCATACGGGTCTATTCAATATGTAACAGTTGGGGCCATATGATGGGTGACAGCTGGGACTATGCAGGCCCATAAGGATCCATTCAATATGTAACAGTTGGGACCATATGATGGATGACAGCTGGGACTATGCAGGGGATTCAATATGCAGGCCCATATGCGCCCATACGGGTCTATTCAATATGTAACAGTTGGGGACCATATGATGGGTGACAGCTGGGACTATGCAGGCCCATAAGGATCCATTCAATATGTAACAGTTGGGACCATATGATGGATGACAGCTGGGACTATGCAGGCCCATACGGGTCTATTCAATATGTAACAGTTGGCCATATGATGGGTGACAGCTGGGACTATGCAGGCCCATACGGGTCTATTCAATATGTAACAGTTGGGACCATATGATGGGTGACAGCTGGGACTATGCAGGCCCATACGATGGGCAACACAGATGTCCCTTAAGCCTTTTACGCACAGGCCGAAATTTAGATGATTTAGAAGGATCCAGCTGACTTTTGACCTGTGTGTACAGCTGACTGTTCTATGGAAGCCGGTCTTACAACCAGCATCCAACCGGAATTTGATCAGTGCTGGTAGCCAATGGCTGGGTGGGTGGGGGCAGTTGCCTTGTCAGAACACAATGGCACAGCAGGTGAGATCACCACACTAACAACATCACTTGTTTTGGTACAGTGATCTCTGTTGTGTGTGTTTTTTTGTTTTTTTTTCTTTCAGCCTGCTGGATTTACGAAAAAAAAAAAAAACAAAAGTTCTAGTGTGTACCCAGCTTTATGTAGCTGTATGCTAAGAGCCTGCAGACAGTCCTCTGTCATTAGCTTGGAATATGAAGGAGAAGCAAGTTAGAAGGGAGGTGACTCTGGACACTCCTTACTGCCAGTGAAAAAGGGGAATTTTGTATAACGCGAAACACATAAGAAGTATTCAGTTCACATACATTTACAGTGCTTTGAAAAAGTATTCATACCCCTTGAAAGTTTCCACATTTTGTCATGTTAGAACCAAAAACATAAATGTATTTTATTGGGCTTTTATGTGATAGACCAACACAAAGTGGCACATAATTGTGAAGTGGAAGGAAAATGATAAATGGTTTTCAAAATGTATAACAAATATCTGAAAAGTGTGGCATTTGTATTCAGCCCCCCAAGTCAGTACTTTGTAGGACCACCTTTCCCTGAAATTACAGCTGCAAGTCTTTTTGGGGATATCTCTACCAGCTTTGCACATCTAGAGTGACATTTCTGCCTATTCTTTGTAAAATAGCTCAAGCCCTGCCAGATTGGATGGAGAGCGTTGGTGAACAGCAATTTTCAAGTCTTGCCACATATTCTCAATTGGATATAGGTCTGGACTTTGAGTGAGCCATTCTGACACATGAATATGCTTTGATCTAAAGTAAACCATTTCATTGTAGCTCTGGCTGTAAGTTTAGGGTCATTGTCCTGCTGGAAGGTGAACCTCCGCACCAGTCAAGTCTTTTGCAAGCTTTAACAGGTTTTCTTCTAAGATTGCCCTGTATTTGGCTCCATCCATCTGCCCATCAATTCTGACCAGCTTCCCTGTCCCTGCTGAAGAAAAGCATGCCCACAACATGATGCTGCTGCCACCACCATGTTTCACTGTGGGGATGGTGTGTTCCGGGTGATGTGCAGTGTTAGCTTTCTGCCACACACAGCATTTTGCCACACATAGCATCTTACCAGAGCACCTTCTTCCACATGTTTGCTGTGTCCCCCAGATGACTTCTCACAAACAGCAAACAGGACTTCTTATGGCTTTCTTTTTGCCACAATTCCATAAAGGCCAGATTTGTGGAGGAGTGCACGACTAATAGTTGTCCTGTAGACAGATTCTCTCACCTGAGCTGTGGATCTCTGCAGCTCCTCCAGAGTTACTATGGGCCTCTTGGCTGCTTCTCTGATTAATGCTCTCCTTGCCCGGCCTGTCAGTTTAGGTGGACGGCCATGTCTTGGTAGGTTTGCAGTTGTGCCACACTCTTTCCATCTTCGGATGATGGATTGAACAGTGCTCCGTGAGAGGTTCAAAGCTTGGGATATTTTTTTATATTCTAACCTTGCTTTAAACTTCTCCACAACTTTACCCCTGACCTGTCTGTGTTCCTTGGCCTCCATGATGCTGTTTGTTCACTAATGTTCTCTAACAAACCTCTGAGGGCTTCACAGAACAGCTGTATTTATACTGAGATTAAATTACACACAGGTGGGCTCTTTTTACTAATTAGGTGACTTCTGAAGGCGATTGGTTAGATTTTAGTTAGGGGTATCAGAGTAACGGAGGCTGAATACAAATGCATGCAACACTTTTCAGATATTTATTTAAAAAAAGTTGAAAACCATTTATCATTTTCCTTCCACTTCACAATTATGTGCCACTTTGTGTTGGCCTATCACATAAAATCCCAATAAAATGCATTTCCATTTTTGGTTGTAACATGACAAAATGTGGAAAATTTCAAGGGGGGTGAATACGTTTTGAAGGCACTGTATATTAGTTCTCTAGAAAACAAGTTATGGAAATAAAAACTTAAAGAACTATTTAACAAGATAATTTATAGATTATTAGCATTGTGTGAGTCATTTGAAAGGCTATTAGCCAATATCTGTAGATTTAGTGTATTCTAAACTCGTTGACTGTCACCTAGAAAAGGAAAGAAATTGTAATGTTTACATAGAGCTGTAGCCAATGCATTCCAGTTGTATACATTACATACACTCACTTCTTTTAAACTATAGCTTTCTCTAAAATGGAACTCTTCTTCTTTCTTTCTTTTTTTTTTTTTAACTGAAATACTGTTACAGCTTTTTTTTCTATTAGGGATTATCATAACCCCCCCATGTTGGAGTGTGTGTGTTTTTTATTTCAAATGTTTTAAAAAACTTTGTTTTGTCTATTTAAATGTTTATTCCTTATAATAAAAATTCATTCAGTTTAAAGCCTTGGACTGGCTGAGAGAGAACAAGGAACGTAGTAAGTCGGCTGCCTGTGGCCAAAAACCCCCCAATTTTAATGTCTTCTCTTTACATGAAGAGTTTAGTGTTTTTTCTGTAGAGTGATGGCAAGAGGGTATTTTTGTGTTTTTGCTTTTAGAGAGCCTGGATGGCGCAGTCTGACCCAAGATCCCGGCCCCTGGTGGAAGATTTTGTCCAGTACAAGCTGTGTCAGCGGGGTTTGGTTCCAGAGCCAGTTGGACCTCCATCATGTAGTCTACATTCAGCTATGCGTGCTGCAGGGGATGAGTTTGAGGAACGTTTCCGACAGGCATTCAGTGAAATATCTACACAGATACATGTGACCCCTGGCACAGCATATGCACATTTTGCTGAGGTGGCAGGTGGTCTGTTCCAAGGTGGGGTTAACTGGGGTCGTGTGGTGGCATTCTTTGTGTTTGGAGCTGCACTTTGTGCAGAATGTGTCAACAAAGAGATGGCTCCCCTTCTACCACGGATCCAAGACTGGATGGTGACCTTTTTGGAGACCAACTTGAGAGACTGGATGCAAAGCAATGGGGGATGGGTGAGAAATGGCAACTTTACTTTTGAATGCATTTTTGAGTATATATCTTAATTTATCAATGACTGGACTGTGCACCACAAGGTACAGTTCTGTTTGTTAAATAGACTCTGTCACTCTTAAAAAGCCAGAAGCTGTCGACAGATATGAAGCACGGGTACCCAGAAATGACAGCACATACATGAAACCGCTTGCAGTACCTCCTTGCTTTGTCCAAATGCTGGACTGTTCAGACATACAAAAGGGAATGTTGGAGCATGCCTGGTCTCACCTATTCCACACATTCCTTATGCCCCATCGCTGTGATGGGCTGCCTCACTGGCCGATAGAATGGGTAGGCAAGCTTCAGCACTCTTAACCATTTGCCATCCGCCTGCTGATTATAAACGGCAGGACGGTGGCACTCCAGGGGCGGGTTGCCGTTCATAAACGGCACCCGCATTTTCTAGTTGTGTGTGCTCCCTGGGAGCACGCAGCACCGCGATCCGGTGCCCGCTGTGTCCTCCGGACACAGTGGAACACCGGTCGTCGGACGGGACCTCTGTGCGAGGTCCCGGTCATGTTATCACTGATTGGCCAATCGGTGATCACATGCAGAGTAGTAAGCAAGATGTCACTGGTGACATCATTGCTTACTACGTGTGAAATCTGTGAATGATCACAGAGGTCACATGGTATAAGGCTATTCACAACAGCCTTGTACCATGTGACAAGCTGTGACCAATCACAACTCACACAGTAGTTCTCAATGGCTGCAAGAATGCAGCCAGAGAGAGAAGGAGAAATGATTGCTTTTACAGCCTTTATGGGCGTAAAAGCAATCAGTGTAAAAAAAAAAAAAAAAAAAAAAAAAAAAAAATCAGCACCCCCAGAAGTAGTACAGTGTCACCATGGTGGCACTGTACTGCTAGGGTGACAGTATGTAAAAAAAAAAAAACCCCATAAATAATAATGTAGAATTCTAATATAGAAAAAAAAGTTTAAACATTTTTTAAAAATTATAATGTTTGGTTATAAACTAATTTTGGGTTATTATTATTATTTTTTTTTTTTTTTTACTAAAAAGACAACGGAAAAATTTTTTGCCAATATTTATGATGAAATACTATTTATTTGCAAAATTTTATAAGAACACTTTCTTTCAAAATTTTTGGACTCTTTCATTTACATAGCAAAAAAAATGAAAATCCAAGTGGTGAATAAATACCACCAATATAAAGCTTTATCTGTCTCAAAAAAATGCTAAAAAATTCATATGGGTACAGTGTTGCATGACCGCGCAATTGTCATTCAAAGTGTGATAGTGCTGAAAGCTGAAAATTGGCCTGCGCAGGAAGGGGGTGAAAGTGTCCGGACTTGAAGTGGTTAAAAACTACTGAAGCATTGTATTGTCAAAAATATCTGGCATTTGGGTGAAGCAGTTGGTGAAATGAAAGCTGCTGTAGGTATGTGCAGGTACCTCTGGGTGTGTGAACATACATTAACTATCAGTAGTTTTTGTGACAGTATTTTTAAGGTGACTTTGTAACAATAATCATCGCACAAGTGTAATAAAAATAACCTATTGATCATACATAAATCGATTTATAGAACACTTGTTATAAATAAATACATTATAGAACACTTGTATATTTAAAGAGTTACAGGCAACATATATGTACAGGGGTTAGACAAAAAATGGAAACACTACATGATTTGCAGATGTGAAAGTGACACATGATTTGCATTAAAAGCGGAAGTGATGCAACATTCTTTTGCTTCCGCTGTGTGATAAGACACCTAGATAACAGGCGGAAAGCCTGACTTTCATCATTCACTATGCGCTGCTAGTAATACAGAGTAATGTCAGAGCTTACTGAGCTTCAAAGAGGGCAAATTGATGGCGTCCGCTTGGCTGGTGCCTCTGTGACTGAAGTTGCCAATGTATTTGCAGTGCCGTGAGGTACAGTATCAAAGGTTATGATGGCATATACAGTTTCCGGGGAAAACAATCCTCTGATAAACATAATAGACAAAAGGACATTGCTCAGGGTTGTAACCCGGAATAAGAAAACAACTGCTGCAAAACCGACTGCAGAGCTTAATCTTAGTCTTCATGGGTCTCTTATCACACAGTAGAAGCTTTCAACGCAGAATATGTCGTCACTTTCACACCTGCAAATCATGTAGTGTTTCCATTTTGTTGTCTAACCCCTGTGCATATTTTTAAATTACTTGAAGCAAGCTAACCCAAAGCAGGAATTTCATACATTTGGAAATAACATTTTACATTGCACAATGTGCTTTATTTTTCATTTTTTCATGCTTGCCACGTCACATATTATTGTTGAAGTGATACTAAAGTCTTCTTTTTTTTCCTTTTTAAATAACAAGCAGTGGTTTTGCACAGAGCAGCCCAGATCCTCCTCTTCTTGGATCCCCCGGCGGCATTCCTGGCCCCTCCCTCCTGTCGGGTGCTCCCATAGCAAGCAACTTGCTATGGGGGGCACCTGAGTAGATGCACTCCTGAGCCACCACTCTGTGTGTCCATTCTCACACACACAGCTGCGACTCACCCCCCCGCCCCCTCCCTCTCATGATTGGCCCATTGCCATTGGCTCCTGCTAGGGCATCAGCCAATCAGGAGTGAGAACCCCTGGAGAACCGCAGGCACTTCAGATGCCTGTCTGCATGTTGAATTCATTTTCTTGTAGGTTGCCCTGATATTCGATAGCCTCCATCTCCTGGTGTTGCCAGCTCAGGCCTACCTCCTCCTTTACCTTCTTAACCAATAGGAAGGCAATAAAGACGAGTGGGGGCCATTTTGTGAGTTTTTTAGTATATGCTTTTTATTGTGCCATTTTAAAGCTAAACTCCACCCTAGTTCCCCCCTACTAGAAGCTCTCTGCAATACATTTGGGGGAAGAAAAAATCAAGGACCCATACATTAAAGTGATGGTAAACTCTTGCAGATAAAGGAAAAAAATGGGTCCACCAGCAGGTTTAAGCCATAATGTACTAGCATGCACTGCAAACTAGTACATTATGACAGACTTGCCTGAAAACAGAACCCTCCAGCGCTGTGCTGTCACGGCTCTCCCTGGTCCTTGGCACTGCAATCTTCCTTCCTGATTTCTTATCTTTGGTTGTTAGAATGCCTTGACTGAGGTGATGTCACTCCCGCACATGCTCATGGGAGTCCTATTGCCACATCATGCAGAGAGTGTTGAGTGATGTAAATGGGGTCTGAGCTGCGCATGTACTGCTCAGGTTACTTTACCCACCGAAAGGCTGGGGGGGAGATTCATGACAGAAGAGACCTCTAGGGGTCTCTCCTATTTTAAAAGCCCCACCTGTCGGTGGATTTACATATACTGACAATACTACCACTTTAATGTATTATTAAACCTTCCATTTGCGCTTCATGACTTCTGTTTTCTTTCTATCATCTCTTTGTAATTTACATTTCAAATTTTCCTAATCCCGTGCTTCATCTCAGCAGCCGGAGGTGATGACACTACATGCACAGGCAACTTTAAACCCCATTCTACTCTGCAGCCTTATGCGCAAGCCGCATGTTTTCTAGCTGCTCTGCCAGTAAACGCTCATTTACAGGCAGCACTCCTGCTCTGGAATACCACAGCAACTCCTCCAGAGATTGATTGGCAGATTGGGTGGTGACATCAGCTAAAATTCAATGCTGGTCAAGTGTGCGTAGTGTTTTATTGGCATACAGGGTGATGTAACATGTAGTCCTGCTATGGGCAGCCATAGGGCTTTTGGTAATATTTACCATGTGTCCAGATGGTCATGGATGATTATTCGCTTCAATCTGTTTTTCCATAAAGATGCATTGATGTCTGTTTTTTCATCCGTCAACAGACGGATGAAAAACGGACAAACAGAATGCCTGTGTAAAATTGGCCTTAAGCTTATGCAGATGTGCAATAAGTGGCCTGTTGGAAACATTATTACACTCCAACCTTGTTACCATGTGTCTCTCTTTTCTCAGAACGGGTTCCTGGCTCTGTATGGCGATGGTGCGATAGAAGAAGCAAGAAGACAGCGTGAAGGAAACTGGGCCTCTCTGAAAACCGTACTGACTGGGGCAGTGGCTCTTGGGGCTCTTATGACTGTAGGAGCTCTGTTTGCCAGCAAATGACACATAAAGCAACAGACACCAAATGTCCTCTGCAAGCAGTGTGCTTTATCCATGCACAACAAGAAGTGTGTTTGTAGACGAGTGCCATTGTTAGAGTATGTGATGGTTCTTGCCTGTGTGCTCTATGTATGTTTCTTTGTTTTAATATGATGTTTTTGCAGCATAAGAGTATGTATTTTATGTGTCCGATTGCATTAAAGATTACAGGTATTGTTTGTATGCTGGTTTTTCGAGTGTGATCATGCATGTCTGCATTCCAGTGTTTTTCTGTGCATGTGTATCCAATATGTCTTGCTTTGTGTGGATGTAATGTTTGTATGGCTCCATTATATGATGCTTTGTGTATGGATGAGAGAACTGTGTTGCCTTGTATGCATTTGTGTCTTTGAGCAGTGCTGGTATTTATTGCTTCTCCTTGCTGCTGGTTTAGTTTACCGAATTTGTAGTAGGAGGGAGCTTCTTTCTCTCTACCAGATTCTTTTATTCTGTGCATTTGAGGGTAGTAAACAGGCATGAGTAGAGCTAATGGTTTCAAATCAATTTAACCCTTCTGCTGCCAGCAATGCTGGCATATAAACAGACTCCTAATCACTAAATCAGCCAGGAGTTTTATATTTTTCAGCAGGCTGATAGTTTACTAATAGAAGTGACATTGGCAGCTGTAAAGCCACTTGATCACTTCTACAGCCGCTCACTGACTTCCATGTGACGAATGACCCCAGAAGCATTTGGCTCTGCTTACTTGCTAGTTCAGAACTGTCAGTCCCTGGCCAGGAAAGAAGCTGACGACACACACTTGGTCACTCTGTGTTTTGTCAGCTTCAAAAGAGTACAGAGGTCACATTGGCGGGCTAATAAACCTCTAATGTACCCTTAAAGAAAACCTGCACTATGCTATCACTTAGGAGGTTTATCCGCCTTGTGATAGATGTTAAATTAAAAAAATAAAACTTTATGTAGTTTAAGTTAAAAAACACCCCCAAAAATTGTTAAGTCCCCAGAAACACACTTGTTGGGTGCCACGCCTTCACAAATGACAATCGTGCCACACCTATTGGGTATTGCTGTGTACTTTGGAGTGAGACAGTTTTCTATGGAGTGTCCATTGGGTACTGTAGGTTTTTTTTTTTTTTTTGCTGTTTCACAAGCGTACAGAGTTTTGAGGCCAGCTAGAGAAATTGGGTGCTTGTGTGCACTAAAATTAATTTGAGTGTATATTTTGCTCAAAATTATAGATTTAATAAACAGTTGCGCAATTATTGACATCAACAATTGCAACTGCCACCGTTTTATTTTACTGGGTCCCTGCTTTAAGGAAATATATAATGTTCTTGGGGTTTAAGTCACCTTTAACTGAAAAATATATTATTTAATCTGAGCAAAAGAAAAAAAAAAGCTCTGGCAGTGAAAGGGTTAAAGAATACAGTACTGTTGCTTTTAACTGAAAATGTCTTTATGTCCGCCATCTGCAATTGCTGTTCTCCAAATATAAGTGCACTGTCTCTAGTTTTAGTTCTGATGACTAGATGTCATGCTGTCCCAGTACTCCCTGCAATTGGCATGAGTTGCCTGGTAACACAGTCCTTTGCTATCACCTAGTGCAGTTGTTCTCCACCTCACCTAAAGTAAGCAACAGACATGCACTAGTTTCCTCTCAATTCCTGTATATCAAGGCAGGTCTGAGAGGAGGAGGCTCCTGCACTAACTACGGTCTCGCACAAGTTGACATTGGCTTCCCTGTACAGAGAACACTGTTTCAGAGGAGATTGGTTTAAGTGTTCATCATGCATTAAAGATTCCTTGCCCTATGTTATTCTGGCCTCTGTTATTCTACATGCATGGTTTCCTGTTGCTTTCCTTATGTATTAAAACGTAAAGACAGCCACGCACAATGGTGTAATAACGTCAGTTACAACACTTCACAAAAACAAAGTCCAGGACACGTCACATCCCTGTTCTTTTATATTCAGAAATTCCAAAGGCTAAAAACAATTAAATAGATCAGGGTGACAAACGTTCCTCATGCAAAGTGCATGCTTCCTCAAGGCACTTTGATCTATCCTCACTCAGGCTTTGCCTGCCAGTAAAACATTCAGTTGCCCCCCCCCAGATAATTAAAAGTCAGCAGCTACAACTACTGTGCCTGCTGACTTTTAATAAAAGGACAGTTACTTGTCCAGGGATCCTGTGCTGTCCTCGCCTAGACTGGTTCTTCATCAGTCTTCGGGTCCCTGATGCCAACATGTTAACTAAAGAAAGCTGACTGTGATTCCTTGCAGCTTCACAACTACCTTCCCATTGTGCATGCATAAGCTGCCCTGTGCTTTTTGAATGGTCTTGCGGTCTTTTGGGACCTGTGATGTGTCCCAGAATGCTGTGGGCAAAGGGTGAACTTACATTCAGATTGCCTGTCAAAGCTAGGTACACCCTTCCAAAAATATTGTCAAAAAGTGGAGGAGGCAGAAAATCCAAACTTTCCCTTTTGGTTGAAGTTCTGTTTTAAATAACAAGTACTGTTACAAGCAACATGTACAACCATACTCAAACTCTGTTACAAGTCACATACAGTGCCTTGAAAAAGTATTCATATCCCTTGAAATTTTCCACATTTTGTCATGTTACAACCAAAAATGTACCGTAAATGTGTTTTATTGGGATTTTATGTGATAGACCAACCCAAAGTGGCACATAGTTGTGAAGTGGAAAGAAAATGATGAATGGTTTTCTAAATTTTTTACAAATATCTGAAAAGTGTGGAGTGCATTTGTTTTCAGCCCTCTTTACTCTGACACCCCTGACTAAAATCTAGTGGAACAATTGCCTTCAGAAGTCGCCTAATTAGTAAATGGAGTCCACCTGTGTGTAGTTTAATCTCAGTATAAATACAGCTGATCTGTGAAGCCCTCAGTTGTTTGTTAGAGAACATTACTGAACAAACGGTATCATGAAGCCCAAGGAACACACCAGCGAGGTCAGGGATAAAGTTGTGGAGAAGTTTAAAGCAGGGTTAGGTTATAAAAAAAAATATCTTAAGCTTTGAACATCTCACGGAGCACTGTTCAATCTATCATCCGAAAAGGGAAAGAGTATGGTACAACTGCAAACCTACCAAGGCATGGTCATACACCTAAACTGACAGGCCAGGCAAGGAGAGCATTAATCAGAGAAGCAGCCAAGAGGCCCACGGTAACGCTGGAGGAGCTGCAGATATCCACAGCTCGGGGGAGAATCTGTCCACAGGACAACTACTAGTCATGCACTTCACAAATCTGGCCTTTATGGAAGAGAGGCAAGAAGAAAGCCATTGTTGAAAGTTCCATTTGCAGTTTGCAAGAAGCCATGTGGGGGACACGGCAAACATGTGGAAGAATGTGCTCTGATCAGATGAGATCAAAATTGAACTTTTTGGCCTAAAAGCAAAACACTATGTGTGGTGGAAAACTAACGCTGCACATCACCCTAAACACACCATCCCCACCGTGAAACATGGTGGCGGCAGCAGCATCAGGTTGTGGGGATGCTTTTCTTCAGCAGGGACAGGGAAGCTGGTCAGAGTTGATGGGAAGATTAATGGAGCCAAATACAGGGCAATGTTAGAAGAAAACCTGTTAAGAGTCTGCAAAAGACTTTAGACTGGGGCGGAGGTTCACCTTCCAAAGGACAACGCCTCTAAACATACAGCCAGAGCTTCAATGGAATGGTTTAGATCAAAGCATATTCATGTGTTAGAATGGCCCAGTCAAAGTCCAGACCTAAATTCAACTGAGATTCTGTGGCAAGACTTGAAAATTGCTGTTCACAGACCCGCTCTATCCAATCTGACAGAGCTTGAGCTATTTTAAGAAGAATGGGCAAAAATGTCACTAGATGTGCAAAGCTGGTAGAGACATCCCCAAAAAGACGTAGCTGTAAGTGCAGGGAAAGGTAACGGTTATACAAAGTATTGACTCGGGGGGGGGGGGGGGCTGAATACAAATGGACGCCACACTTTTCAGATATTTATTTGTAATACTTTTTCAAGGCACTGTGTACTGCCATAACAAGCACTGTTACAGCTCTCAGTACAGGAATTCATTCAATGAATTTCGTTCATTTAGTTTCAAAAGACCTGTTGCAGTAAGTGAGATTAATTTGGCTTCTTCCTGTAAATGTATTTTTCCACGATTACCCCCAGGATTCCCAAATTTGATTTTTTTAACTCAAATAAGTTTTGCCGCTTTTATATCCTCATTATGTCTTTCTTGATTATGATCAAAACATTTTGCTGCTCCTACTTCAGTTTCAGTTGATAAATGTTCTGGAATGCAATTCAACATTTTAATAGTTTTACCATTATAGTAATAGCTGCAAGGACACATCATGTAATAAACCACTTATCGACAAGGGATCAGTTCTTAAATGCAATACATACAGTTAGGTCCATATATTTTTGGACACAGGCACAATTTTAGTTTTTTTCAGGTATTTCCCAAAACATATTCAAGCTCTAGTTATATAATGGATACGGGGTGAGTGCACACTCTCAGGTTTAATTTGAGGGTATGTACATCCAAATTGGAGGAAGGGTTTAGGAATTACAGCTCTTAAGAATAGCCATCCCCCCTTTTTCAAGGGACCAAAAGTAATTGGACAATTGAATCAAAAGCTGTTTCATGGCCAGGTGTGGGCTTTCTTCATCAATTAAGCAGGTAAAAGGTCTGGAGATGATTCTAAGTGTGGTATTTGGAATCTATTGCTGTGATTCTACATCATGTGTTCAAAGGAGCTGTCCATGCAAGTGAAACAGGCCATTGTAAGGCTTCAAAAACTAAACAAATCCATCAGAGAGATAGCAGCAACATTAGGAGTGGCCAAATCAACAGTTTGGTACATTCTGAGAAAAGAAGAACCATCTCCATTATATAACTATAGCTTGTATATGTTTTGGTAAATAAGTGACAACTAAAATTGTGCCTTTGTCCAAATATATATGGACCTAACATATCCACCCAACTTCACCT